AATCTTTAAAAAAAAAAAAAAGAAATATAAATGCTGAGAAATGGGGGCACCTGGGTGGCTCAGTTGGTTAAGTGGCTGCCTTCAGCTCAGGTCATGATCCCAGGGTCCTGGGATTGGGTCCCCTGTCGGGCTCCCTGCTCAGTAGAGAGCCTGCTTCTCACTCTCCCTCTGCCTGCTGCTCTGCCTACTTGTGCTCTTGATCTCTCTGTCAGGTAAATAAATAAAATCTTAAAAAAAAAAAGTGCTGAGAAATGTTCACATAAATAAATACATGGGAATGGAAAGTTTTGTTATTGCAATGGCATTAAAGTCTTTCAACTCATAACTGAGTGATGTGCCCAAAAGTCACAGTGATCTAACATCAAAAATTTCAAATGATATTTCAGTTGATAATTCAATTAGGTCATCTTTCAATCATGTTGTAAGCGAAGAAGTAGAAAACATCTACTTTGTGAAAGAATTTGTTGCCGATTCATTAGTCATTCACTTTCTCAATTTCTGGGAAGTATACCACAAAGACTTACGAAATACTTGTTAACTACATCCCAGACTTTTTCACTTGCCTTTGAGATATATTGTATAACCCAATTTCTCAGAAATGGCTAAGAAAATCTTTGCCAATCTGATATACTTTGAGGGGAGGTGGGTGGGGGATGGGTAAAATAAGTGATGGGGATTAAGGAGAGCGCTTGTGATGAGCACCAGGTGTTGTATGGAAGGGTTGAATCACTGTATTGCACACCTGAAACTAATATTACACTGCATGTTAACTGGAATTTAAATTAAAACTTTTAAAAAATATAATATACTTTGATAAAAATCTATTTATTTTATGTGATTTAAGTATGTTTTAATCAAACACTTAGCTTTCATTCAATTTATGGGAAAAGTCTTATGTATTACCTAATGGCCAAGTCAGTCTTCACATTAAATCAATCAGCTGCATCAGACTTTCAGAGATTTCAGTTTGGAGAGTTGGAATAGGTGTTTTAAAATCAAATGTATTGGCATATAAATTACATACAGTAAAATGTATGTTTACAGTACAATGAGTTTTGACAAATGTATACACGTATGTAACCAACACTTCCATCACCACAGAAAGTTCCCTCCTGTGACCCCCGCCCCCTGCTACTCCCCTCCCAGCTAACCACTATTTGATTTCTTAGACTATAGGTAAATTTTGCCTGTTCCAAAACTTCATACAAATGTACTCTTCTTTTTTATGGTCTATTTTTTCACACACATGTTTTTAAGAATGCATCCATGTTGTTGCATGTATCAGTAGTTTGTTCTTTTTTATTCTCAGAAGTATCCCTGTGTGTGAATATACCACAATTTACCCATTTATTTGTTGATAGACATTTAGGTTGTTTCCAGATTTTGGATATTATGAATAAAGTTGTTATGAACATTCTTGTACAAGTTTTTGTGGGTTTTTCTGGTTTTTAAGATTTTTTTTTTAATTTATTTGACAGAGAGAGAGAGCACAAGCAGGAGGAAGGGCAGGCAGAGGGAGAAGCAGGCTTCCCATCGAGCAGGGAGCCCGATGCAGGGCTCCATCCCAGGCCCCTGGGATCATGACCTGAGCCGAAGGCAGCCACTTAACTGACTGAGCCACCCAGGCGCCCCTACAAGTTTTTGTTTTCGTTTGTGGACCTCTGTTTCATATAATCCATATAGTCATAATCTTGGAATTGCTGGGTTACAGAGTAAGTACATTTTTAACTTTATAAAGTTAAACTCCCAAACTGTTTACCACAGTGGTTGTACCATTTTACATTTCCACCAGCAGTATACAAGAGTTGCTCTACTTCCTCTCCAACACTTGATATCATCAATTTTAGCAATTCCAGCAGGTAGGAAATGGTATCTCCTAGTTCTAATCTGCATTTCTCTGATGCCTAATAATATCACACATTTTCATATGCTTATTGGCTATTCACATATCTTCTTTTGTGAAGTATTTAAGCCTTTGCCCAGTGGCAACATTACAATTCCATTTTTCAATTTAAAATAAACATGTTAACATGAATCTCTGTTGACAACTATCCTAGCTCCAAATTCTAAGATTAATTCTGAATCTAGTATATGTGCTGCCGAAGTGAGCACAGATTAATTCTGAATTCTAAAAGGTGAAGGCTTGTCCTGAGTTTGTCACCTAGATGACTCAAACTTTCTTCTATGCTTCCTTAGAATTCTCCCTTGGGAAAGATGCCTTTTTAAATAATAATTGGAGACTGGAAGAAGCAAATTTTCAACATTTCCACTATACAACTTGTCTGAATTCAAAACATCTCCAAATGGTGCAAATTGCCCATTTCTAATGTCAAATTTTGCTCCTAATAGAACTATGCTGGGGCGCCTGGGTGGCTCAGTTGGTTAAGTGACTGCCTTCGGCTCAGGTCATGATCCCAGGATCCTGGAATCGAGCCCCGCATCGGGCTCCCTGCTCAGCAGGAAGCCTGCTTCTCCCTCTCCCACTCCCCCTGCTTGTGTTCCCTCTCACGCTGTCTCATTCTCTGTCAATTAAATAAATAAATAAAATCTTTAAAAAAAAAAAAAGAACTATGCTTAAGACAGAACTATGGACAGGACAAAAAGCCTTTAATCATGGAAGCTTAGTACTATTTCAGTTTTCCTTTGGTACCCCAGAGGTTTTTACCTCTGGTAAATAGAGCAATGCACCATATTAAGATTCAAAGTGAGAGGTATGCTTTTTTCCTGTGAAGTGGGGAAAGGTGAATAATGAAAAGGGAGGTGGGAATGATAACATTTCCTGGGAAAATTAAAAAAAAAAAATATTTTATTTATGGGGCGCCTGGGTGGCTCAGTCGTTAAGCGTCTGCCTTCGGCTCAGGTCATGATCTTAAAAAAAAAAAAAGTATTTATTTATTTATTTGACAGAGAGAGACACAGTGAGAGAGGGAACACAAGCAGGGGGAGTGGGAGAGGGAGAAGCAGGCTTCCCGCGGAGCAGGGAGCCCGATGCGGGGCTCGATCCCAGAACCCTGGGATCATGACCTGAGCCGAAGGCAGACGCTTAACGACTGAGCCACCCAGGCACCCTGGGGAAAAATTTTTTTTAATCGTGATAAGATATAATCACTTTTAAGTGTATAGTTCTATGGCATTAAGTACATTCACATTGTTATGCAACCATCACCACCAACCATCTCCAGAATTTTATCACCTTTCTCAACTGAAATTCTGTAAACACTAGCTCCCCACCCCCCCTTCTCTTAACCCCTGGCAACCACATTCTACTTTGACTATGAATTTGACTGGTACCTTCATATGAGTGTAGCCATATGATATTTATCCTTTCATGACTGGCTTGTTTTACTTAGCATAATGTCTTTAAGATTCATTGATGTTGTAGCATGCACCAGAATTTCCTTTTCTAAGACTGAATAACATTCCATTGTATGCATACATCCCATTTTGTTTATCCATTCATCCACGGATGGACACTTGGATTGCTTCCATCTTTTGGCTATCGTGAAAAATGCTATGAACATGGGTGTGCAAATATCTATTCAAGTCTCTGCATTCAATTCTTTTGGGTATATATCTGGCAGTGGAATTGGTGCATCATATGGTACTTCTGTTTAATTTTTTGAGGAATCCTGGGAAATCACTTTTAAGAAAATGATCTGAGTATCAATTCATTAAAGTTTCCGTGTCTATGTATCTCTTATAAAGTCTGTACCCAGATTGAAAACTCCTGTTCTGAGTCACACCTTGGAACATAAGGGAGGGAATGCAATGTGTGGTGGGAAAAAAAGCATGAGTTTGAAGTCAGAGAGGCATGGTTAGAATTCAGTAATTACTTAGTCTAGAAACTGTGGGCAAGCCAATTCCCTCTCCATAGTTTCCTATTCCATAAATGAGGCTAACAATACTTATCCCACAGAACTATAAAGAGAAGAGATGAAAGGAACCTACCAGAGAGGTCGACAATTCACTTGAAGCTACACTGTTGTGGGAGCTTGGGACACAGGGAGAAGCAAGGCCACCTGGTAACAGCCACAGATGTGCAGAGAATACAATATAATGTAGTGTGGGGCCAGGACTGATGTGCTTGGCAGAGTAGGTACATGAGAAAGGTCAGGAAAGGTCTCAGGAAGAGGGGGCAGTGGAAGCAAGCCAAGCAAAGACACAAAAGCATAAAAAAGCACGTTGCGAGGGGAACTTGAACAGTTAAATGTGGTGTCACCACAACACAAAATGCAAAGACATGAAAGGGAACAAGCAGGCAGCTTCTTAAAGGCCACGGGAAAGATCTTGACTTTATTCTGTGCCTTGGTTTCATTGTATACTTCAAATTCTTCTGTAAAATTAGGACTGTTGTATACCTTTCTCATACGGCTGTTAGGATTAAACACAAACGAAATAGGATAACGCACACACAACACTTAGAAGAGTGCCTGGCCCATACTGAGGCCCAAATATCTCCTCCTGTTAATACTACTGTCTTGAGGTGGCAAGAAAGGCTTTAAGCAGGGGAGTGACATTTTCACATTTGCATTTTGAAAAGATCAGCAGAGGGAAGCAAGGAGGATGGATTGTAGGAGGAGTGTTGGACTCAAGAGGCTGTCACAATAAGTAGTCTAGGAAATAGAAAAACCCTGCCCTGCCCGAAAACAGTGACTATGAGGAGAGAGGGAATTCAGCTTTTTAATAGCAGAAGAGATGAGCTCTGATGCCTATTTGAATGTGGGAGGAGCAGGAGTGGGAAGAGTCCTAGATGAGGTCCTCATGGTTAGTTTTCTTCCTGCAGTGATCTCCATCCCTCCCTCCATTCTCCAATAACAAAAAGGCCATCACAACACATTTCCTTTCAAAGTTTTATTAAAGTTTAAAGGAACAATTAATATTTGTAAATTTTTTTTGTTAACCTCAGTACAAAAATACAGTTGACGACTTGACAAAATTGGCTCCACCTAGGGCTTGAAGGTTTCTGTTTCTGTAATAGTAACAGGGAAAAGCATGCTTCCAGCTGGGGCTGAGTCCAAACACACAGCCACTCCTGCATACACATGCGTGCGAACAGGGAAGCCCAAGCAGAAGAGGATGGAAGTTGCCGGGATTCAGGAAGAAGCCCAAGATTATTCCCAGGAGAAAAGGAGAAGAAACAGGCTGGTCTCCTCGACGGGGGTAGAATTTCTGATTTACATTTAAGTTTGTTTTTTTAAATGATAAACTATTTCTGCAATTTTAATACTGTAGAAAAGATGCTACTGGTCTCCTTTCACCACCAAGGTGAATAAAGCGGGAGGAAACGGAAAAAGATTCAAATATTGAAGTGTGAGGAGTACACCTCCAAATGGCTCAAGTTTTGTGTCAAAAGCTGTCATTCTTTACATTCCATGACAAACAGACATCTAGGAGGGGGCAGGAGAAGGAAGTTTGCTGTGCTCCGCTGGATCCACAAACGTGGAGACCAGCTCCTGTCAGCAGAAGTCTTCCACAGTGAGAGCGCTCCTCCCCATGTAGGCAGGAGCAAGGTTTCCTGGTTGGTTTAATTGTTCTGAGCGATTCCTCAATATTCCCTCCCCTGCTGCTTTCCTTCCAGAACACTAACTCTGATGAAAGAAGGGATATATTCATGTTACAACTCATCTTCAAGATGTTTCTCTCTGAAGGCATCCCCCGTCAGCCTCTCCTGAGCTTCCTTCATCCCCTGAACAACTGTGAAATAAAGGTTGGGGGGAGAAAGTATGAAGTAGGTTTTTAATATCTGACATTTGACAACTAACATAGATTTTTATTATAGGAGAAATATGATAGGAGCACAGGATCTGGACTCTAGATCTAGTTCTGGATTTTAGTCCTGGAAAGTTATTTACCTCTTTTCCAGGTATATATTTGTTTCCTCATCTATAAAATGAGGTAACGTTACTTACTTCACACAGGATTAGTATAAAAATTAAATGAATGGATAATAAAAGAGCTTTATAAATGATGAAATACTACAAAAATACTACTAGTTAACTATGGCTTATCCTCCAGGATTAGGGCTGAATCCCTGTCACAGACTACAGATGTTCACTTGTCTTTAAGGGAATAGAAAACAACCTCCTACCATCCCCATGATGATCTTTTGATGAATGCTGCATTTATTTTTCATTTCCTGTGGAAGTTACAGGAGAGCATGTGTGTGTGCTCAGAGGGGGTATGGTCTTCAATGAAGGAGGCAGTCATTTCTAGCATCAACCATACCGAGAAGCAACCAAGTTCTCAGTCAAAAAAAAGAGCTGAACTATCTCAGGACAGCTCTCTTGTCGACTCAGCGTCGAGGGCAGCTGTTTTGGGACAGGCTCTCTATAGAGTGACAGGCCAGGAGCTGGGTTGAGCCAGAGTCTGTAAATCTCAGAAAGCAAGCCTATAACCTTGTAAGAGCCAGGTAGTAGAGTTTGTTATTTCCCTTTTGCTGGGCCTAAGCCTTTAGTAAAGCCAGGCTTGATGTTCCAGTTTCATGTCAGCTGAGCCATGGGGGATCCAGGCAAGGGTCTTGTGTCCACATTTGGACTAATGTGTTAAAAGATGATGGCAATGGCAAGTTGGATGAAATTCTAAAGGGAAGGTGAATCTCTAGGGTCAAGAGTTGGGGACCTAAAATCTAGCTGCCCTTCCCATGTGGGAAATTTCCCTCTAACACCAGCCTCCAGTGATCTGCATTTGGGTAAGGAAGATGACATTCTCCTTACCTATGGGAAGGAGATAACCTCTCCAGATCTCTTTCCTCTCCCTATTCTGAGAAATAAGAGTTCCAAGGACTCAGAACATAAAGTGAGCAACAACCTGGCAGCATGGCAATGCAGGACACATGGCAACTTAGCAAACAACCCCCTCTTATAGATAACAGGAGGAACTTTGGAAGGAAAACAGGGACAGTACTTAGCATGAATTCCAACCCCTGCCTCTAGAATGACGGTGCTCAAGGATTAGAGAACAAGAAGGCCTGACATGATTTCAACCTTCCTTCACCTGTTTGTGCTGATGCTATTCTCTCTGCCTGGAACATGCTTTTTGCATTCTTCTGCTGGCTAGGTCTCATTCTTCAGGATTCAGTCCAGTCACTGTGTCTTCTAGCAAGCCTGCCGTACTCTCCATATTGGGCTACACTCCCCACCCTTGCTTCCATAGCTTGAAATGTCCTCGTATCTGTTCATAGAGACAAATTTTTATCCTTCTAGGTCCAGTTAAAGCTTACTATTGATGAAACCTTTTAGACTTGATCACCTAATGGCATTCCCTCTCCTCTGAATTCTTATAGGAAGAGTAGCATTAGCACAGTGGGAAAAAACTTAAGTTCTGGACTGAAATTCCGGCTCTGCCACTTAATTTTGAGACCACAGGCAAGTGACTACCTCCATGAGCTTCAGTTCTTCAATTTCCCGTGGTTCATTTAGCTCCAAACAGCATTGTAAGCAGCTAGGGAAGGGGCTCAGTCTCATCTTTCTCCTGTATTTTACACAGGTTCTAGCCAAAAGCTAGTCATGCTGGAGATGCTCAGCTAACACACAGCATCGAGTCTCCTCTCATAGACCTTGAATGTGGTTCATCCTAGTTAAATTTAGCAGCAATTCTCCCACTCTCTCAACATAACCATACCTTGTTCGGCACTGATGTAGAAATACTTGTAGCTGGGGTTTCCATTCTCATTGATGATTTCAGGATGCACCTTGCCACTGGGATCTATTGTAGACAAAATGGCACAAGGATTGCAATAATGATAACAGAGAGGTATTGCAAATTCTCTATAGTACATTAGGCCCTCTAGAAAATGAGACCTGCCCATCTTTGCAGCCCATTATCTCACCACTCTACCCCTTGTGTTTTATGCTGTAATCACAGTGAATTCCTTGTAGCTCCCTGAACTCAAGTCCCCCATGCCTTGGTATATGCTGTTCTCGCTTCCTGGCATGTTCCCTTTCTTCTTGATGATGGTGGGATCCTACATTTCTATTTGTCTCCCCCACAGAATCCAGCGGAATGCTGAGCAAAGATTAGACTGTCATTAAACTTAACATCTTTTATAAATTGTTTGTGGAAAGACATCTGTCTGGTTATAGTATTCCGCTGCCTCAGTTGCACTATGAGGTCAAGGGTAGGAATTGTGGCTTATCTCTGTCCCTGCAGTGCCTAGCACAGTGCTTGACATATGACTGACACACAAATGAATAATGGATGATCAGTATTCTGTCACTGCTCACAAAAACAGTTAGTTAATGGAAAAAATTTTCCTTCAGACTTGAAGTTCTGGCATTCGGAACTCCCCCACACTTTCTTGAAACTGGCTTTTGTTCATTTTTGTTTTTAACCACCCTCGTATAGCTTCACTAGAGTCAGTGCCTCGACTCCCTTATCTCTTTATCACATCACAGATCCCCAGATTAAGATTTCACCTTACCCAGGAAAAGGATTCGCGGAATATAACCCCCATCAGGGCTGAAATCTTCATCCTTGGGCTCCTCTTCATCCTATTAAGTATAAACGTTAAGTCAGATCATGTCCTTTCTCTCTTCAAAACCTTTCAGTGGCGGGGTGCCTGGGTGGCGCTGTCTTGGTTTCAGCTCAGGTTGTGATCTAGGGGTTGTAAGGCTGAGCCCCGAGTCAGGCCCCATGCTCAGTGCAGAGTCTGCTTAAGACTCTCTCTCCCTCTGCCCCTTCACTCCACTGTCTCTGTCTCTCTCTCAAATAAATAAATAAATCTTAAAAACAAAAACAAAAAACCTTTCAGGGGCTTCCCCTCTCACTCAGGGTAAAACCTCAAGTCCCAAGTGGCCTAAGAGGCCCTACATAATCTGCCACCTGGGCACTTTTCTGACTCTATGTCCTACCCCTTGTTCAGTCTTCTTCAATGATGCTGACCTGCTTGCTGTTGCTGTCCTTAAACAAGCCAGGCATGCACCTCACTCAGGCCTTTGCACTTGCTCTTACCCTCTGCCAGGACTTACTTCCTCCATTATCCACATGGCTTACTCCCTTTTTTGTTTCAAATCTTTGCTCAGATGTCACCTTCTTTTCTTTTCTTTCTTTCTTTTTTTTTTTAAAGATTTTATTTATTTGACAGGGAGAGACACAGCGAGAGAGGGAACACAAGCAGGGGGAGTGGGAGAGGGAGAAGCAGGCTGCCCGCGGGGCAGGGAGCCCGATGTGGGGCTCGATCCCAGGACCCTGGGATCATTACCTGTGCTGAAGGCAGACGCTTAATGACTGAGCCACCCAGGCGCCCCAGTCACCTTCTTTTCTAACCATCTATTTAAAATTGCAAAGTATCCCCTCCACCCTTCATTTTTAGCCATAGCAGTTACCACCATCTGACATATTTTGTTTAACTGATTTGTCTGTCTCCCCATATTCATTTTCCCATATGTAATATCAATAGGGTGGGGAATTTTATCTGTTTTTCCATCACTGATTCCCAATACCCACATCCTTGACTTGCACACAGTATTTCTTGAATCAATGAGTCAATGAGACTGACATTTTAGCCATAATTATGGAGTTATAGTCCTCCCAGGAGATATGACCACACAGTTAGCTTTCTTTTGAAGAAATGTCTAAATTTGGAGAATGCTCAGTTAAGACATTTCTGTTTCCCTTGAGTGGTGATTCTAACTCAGAAAGTGATGAGAAGTTCTTATGCATAAGAAATCAACAGTAATTTTGTCATTTTTGGTGTGGATCCCATTTCAGGAGTTAAATGGAATTTCTTCAAACTGTAATATAATTTTGCCTTGAGTGCGGTGTGTCAGCATTCAGGCTATCCACTAGTTATATAAGCAATCCTTTACAAACCCTTAGCTGCCTCAACATTCCCCGTTAGTGTCCTCAAAAGATTTCCAGTCCTATGTTTAAGTAAATATTATCTTTACAGAAACTTAGGGCTAGAAGTTTCATCATAAAGCATCCAAGCATCCCTTATTTGAAGAGTACACCCTAAAAGGCAGCAGAGCTAGGTCACAGTACCTATTCTTATCACTTATTAGGCTCTCTGATCTTGACTAAATCACCTAATTCCTTCGGTCCCAAGATGTTCTTTCTGTAAAATGGAGATATAGTCCCAGTGGCCGAAAAATCCCTTCTAAGATCTGATATTCTGACTTGAGATTAAAAGACCTATAATCTATGTCAAGTACATAAAGGATATCTAATGAAGAAACAGGAAGATTGTATATACAAGCCCAGCACAGAGAAGGGGCTCAACTGCATCACATTTTGCAGGGATCTGTGTCCTGCATGTGTTTTTATACCTTTAGTTCATCCATACAATGATGTAAAACATGTCATAATCATGGACTAAAATTGAGGGGACCTTAAAACATAGTCATCTTATCCAATTTCTACTCTTATTCCTCTGACAAGTGGAGGCTGGATGGCTTTCTACAGCTGACACACAAGCCTTAGTATTAGAGGGTCAAGAGGAAAACACTTGTATACGAGAAGCCAGCTCTGCTGAATATGATTTTACACCATTAATGATGACAATTTCAAAACAGCAAAGACTTAAAATCATAGCAGAAAGGAGAAACTCTCAAAGTCTTACCTCAAGGTTCACCATAACAAAATTATGGGAAAGTTCTGAAATTTCTGTAGATTCAGCAAATTTGGGCTTTAAAGCTAGGAGGGGAAAAAGATTTTAGAATAGATGAAAACATCACTGTCATATCCAAACCCTAATTTGCTGAGTTGATTCAGAGAAATGAAACTTTTTTTTTTTTTTTTTTAACTCCTAAGAACCAGAAATCAGGACACCTGAATTCTGGTCGTGCTTCTGCCACTTACTCACACAGGTATATCACTGGAATGACTGACTTCATTTCTCTGGCTTTTATCCCATTTATAAAATATGGATAATGGCATACAAATGAAAAAAAATTATTTCTATTTGCTTTTTATAGCCACATTTCAGTAACTTCTATTGAGGTAATAGACAAAGACAACAGAGTAACATCACAACATGTATATATATAAGTATGCTATTTACACTAATTTTATACTCCTTTTCCAACTAGGATTCTGCTGAGTGTAGCATACCCAACAAAAGAAAAAAACCTGACTGGGAAGTAGCAAGGGGGCACAGCAGAAAGAATACATGCCACAAATAACCTTGGGTTCTAATTTGGTTCCCACCTCCTCCAGGAAGACTTCCCTAGTCACTTCTCATGTCTCTGTATATTTCAGTTTCCTATATTTACGGTCCATATGACTACTGTAGCACTTAATACTATACTCTCCCTAACCATATCTCAGTTGCTTCACCCTCTAATCCCTTGCATAGGTAACTGCAAACTTCTTGAGAGCAGGGAATCTATGTCATATATTTCTTTGGTATTCCTTAAAGCTATCAGCAGTGCTCGGACAAAGTCTGTGCTAATATATTTTTTTTTCTTCTTTTTTTTCTTTTTTTTATTGTGCTAATATTTTTTAAGTGTTAATATTTAAGAACACATTGGAGGTTTGATTATTTGCACTTACCTTTGCAAGCTCCACACCAGGACTTGTGGATAATCACCATCAGAGGCAAGCCACTTAAAAAGAAAATGAAGAAATTACAATCTAGTAATTCCACTTCTTTTAAGTCTATCCTAATAAAATGACCACTTTATAAAGACAAAGGTTAATGTATAAAGATGTTCTAGACTAAGAAAATTTTTAGGTGACCTAAATATTAAATATAGATTATTGTAATACAATTATTGGTAAGTTCTGACATTCCTGTAAATTCTGCAAATTCGGGTTTTAAAGCTAGGGAGAAAAGACTAGAAAAGAAGAAAACATCAAATTACAGTACTTCTAAATGTTATGGTTATATAACCATTGAAAATGTTAATAAAACTTTTCATTGGTATGTCAAATTAAAAACTAGAATAGGGGTGCTTGGCTGGCTCAGTCAGTAAACATGTGACTCCTGATCTTGGAGTCATGAGTTCAAGACCCACGTAGGGCAGACAGCTTACTTTAAAATAAATTTAAAGAACAAACATAGGGGTGCCTGGGTGGCTCAGTCAGTTAAGCATCTGCCTTCTGCTTAGGTCATGATCTCAGGTCCTGGGATAGAGCCCTTCGTTGTGTCCAGCAGGGAGTCTGTTTCTCCCTCCTGTGCCCCTCTCCCTGTTCATGTTCTCTCTCTAATAAATAAATAAAATCTTTAAAAATAAATAAATCTTCACAACAATCCTAAGGTATATACTATTAATGTTCTCATAAAAGAAAGGAGAAAACGTAGACTAAGACCCTAAGAAATTAAATATCTGACCACATAACATCTAGGCTCTGCCACTTACTAGCTAATTCCTTAATTCTGACTCCAAAACCAATGTTCTTTCTGACCATTATTGTCTACTTCAATTTAGGATGCAATCCACAACCAATAATCAACTAACTTTTAATCAGAGAATAGAGGTTGGAAAAAGCCTTAAAGGTTGCCTCGTCCAAGCCTCCATTTCACCCAGGAATTCTAATATATCATATATCATCTAATATATCATATGTAATTATAACACATCCAATATATCTAGTATAACAAAAGGTGGTCCAGATTGCCTGATGAGCAAGAAACACATCACCAACCAAGGCAGCCCATCCTTTTAATAGCTCTATGCATTTACAGAGCAGTTAAGAATGCCTTGCTACCTCCTCTCCCAAGCAAACTCCTATTTATCCTTCTAGAGCAGAGATCAGCAAACTATAGTCTGTAGACCTAATCCAGCCCACTGCCTGCTTCTGTAGAGCTGTAAGATACAAATGTGTTTTTTTCATTCCTAAAAGGAAATGAAAGACACATACCAAAACATAATAGCTGTTATCCCTAGATAATGGGATTGTGGATTTAACTATACTTTTTCTGTATTTTCCAACTTTTCTATAATCAAATGTAATTTTTATAATTAGGGAGGAAAAAACTTTTTTTAAATGATGAGCAACATAATCCACCTGAACCAGTCTTGGACAGATGAAGCTCTTAAGCTCTCAAGGCTCAAATGCCAACTTGTAGGAGAGTCCTATGTAAGCAGCCATTGGCTTTCTCCATCATCCAACCCCAGTATCATCACACCACCATACACTGTATAAGATGATCACTGCATTTAATACATTGAACTCTATTACTTACCTGTCTCCCTACAACAGACTTGGGAGTTTCATTTTTAAATGGTTGAAAAACAAATCTAAAAAATAGTACCTTGTGATATTAAAATTCAATATAATTCACCTTTCAGTGTAGTTTTATTGAAACACACTCATACTCAGTTGTATACTTATTGTATATGGCTGTTTTTATGATACAATGTGCTACAGTTAATAAGCTGCAACAGAGACCTTATGGCCTACAAAGCCTAAAATATTTACTATTTGACCCTTTGATGACCCATGTTCTAGAGTGACAGTTCGAATGTTAACCCATCTAGGAAGCCTTCTCAAAACTACCTTCTCTCAACAGTTAGTCCTTTCCTCCTCTGGGGTTCCAAAGCATTCTGTCATCATTCTGCAACTGCCAACTCTTTTCATCCCATAATCATGTTTACTTGTCTGTACTTTTCACCAAACTATTACTTTCTCAAGGGCAAAGACTGTATCTAATTCATCTCTGAAAATCACAAATGCTGGCAAGTTAGGTACCCACCATTTGTTTAATGAAATCAATGGAAGAATGAAAAGAAGCTTAAAGTGATATCTGCCTTGAAATACAGAATGAAGCACTACAGTTGTCATAACTACTTTAGGTTAGACCAAATATCTAGTCTCTTACTAAGCACTATTAAAGTACTATTTTGGTCAAAGGCGTAATAGCGATACTCGTGTATCTAAATACTACATTATGTAAATTACATGCATAACATTAAGTTACATTAAGTGAAAAAGATTCCAGCAGACTTTCTTCTTCTAAAAGATTTTATTAGATGAAATAATCTAGTAACGTCTTTCACTTCCACTAAGACCAAAGCTTCCCAAGGACAGAAACCTGTGGATTTATCTGTGACCCCTGGCCCCAGGATAGACTCACAAAAAGTAGGCACAGTACTCAAAAAATCGTTTGTGGTATGAACAAAGGGACAGTGCAGATGCAGAACTGGGCCATCTTCAGTTCTTGTTCCTAATTGTTTTAAAACAATTCATCCAATCTGCTCTCCCACAATTCAGATGGGGGAGATCAACAGTGTGTGATACCCCAAGTAGAACCCAATCTAAACAAACCGTGTCCACCTGAGCACTGTCCCCTGGATAAATTTGCCAAGATCCTCCAAGCCAGTTCTCCACTTTTTTTCTAGTCTCAATTTATGCTGTAAACTCAAGGCCTGGCATAAAGGAAAGCGTGAGTAAATCAGTCACAACAGCTCTAGTACCACACACCAAAATGCTCTGCAGACCCTGAGATTACCCTATCAAGAAAAACAGAGAGCAGTGGAGGTTAGATGAGGAGCCATGTCTCCCCTCGACCCCCCCATCCACTCCCTCTGGTTAGTGCAGGCTCTGGCTCAGATACTGCAGAAACATATTGGCCAGCTGAGGCAGGTTTTCATTGTTGGGATGCATTTTGGTGTAGGAAATAAACTGGCGACGGAGGCGACTCAGTTCTGCCATGGTCAAAGGCCGAGTAAACTGCAGGTGCTCCGTGGTGCCAGGAAGCTTAAGCAAGTCTCCAGGGACCGCGCTCTTCTGCGCTTCCATCAGTCCCGCCAACACCTGGCTCGTGACCTGATCCAACTGGTGCAGAAAGCTGCCAGACGCAAGGGGCTGGGACTGTGTAGACTGATGGGGTGGGGGAGCCTGGTTCTCAAACAAGGCAGCCCGTATTTCTGCTAGGGGCAATGGCTCCTCCAGGCCCACCAAGGTGAACAGGGGCCGATCCCAGCGGTTCCGAGAGTCGGGAGCCTCAAAGCGCAGCATTAGGGCTTCCATAAGTTCTGGAGGATAAAAGGCACTAGACACACGCTTTTCAGATTTATCTGGAGTCACAAGAGCTGGAAGATCTGGCGCCTTGGTTTCCTCCTGCTCCAGTTCCTTAGGTACGTCGGACTGGGTTCTTCCACTTACTACAAAGTCCACTGTTTGGGGTTCCCTGAGGACACTACTGCCAGCCGCCAGAGGTCTCCCTCTTTCCTCAGTGCGCGGCTTCCAACTCACACTGAGGTTCTGGCCTCGGTTGTCTGCCGCACCCGCCTCCCGAGGTCCTCCGCTCAGACCACCCGGCCGTATGCAATATACCAAGCAAAGCGGGGTGCGCGCCGCCCGCGCAAGGCAGTAGAGCTCGTAGCGGAATCCCTTGATGTAGTTAAGCGAGTCGAGAATGACCACATCGTGGCGACTCAAGCGCCGCTCCACCGCGGCTCGCAGAGCCCCGCGCAACGCCTTCTCACGGGCCGAATCGCGGTACACGGTCGCGTCCTCCGTGCCCAGCACCGCCGCGTCATCCACCACGTACACCGCACGGCCCTCGGCCGCTAGCGCCCGACGGAGCTCCTCCGCACGCCGGCTCTTGCCGCTGTACGGCAGCCCGCAAAACACGACGAGCGGCATCCTTACAGGGCGCGGCCATGTGCATCCGCGTAGCGTCAACTTCCGGGGTGTCGACGTCACGGACGCAAACCGGAAAGGCAAACTGCACTTCCTGTCCTCTCGACTCTTAAAGGACCTACTGTTGCTATGGAAACACGAGTTCTACTCCAACTAAATCTAGGACCTGTTGTCTCAGAAAGGAGATGGAAACTAGAATGACATCAGTTATTTATGTCAAATAGGCATCAAAAGAATGTGATCTCCCTGTGGCCAAAGACTATGCCCAACCATTTATAATGGGGCCTTAATGAGCATTAAACATTGCAAAAACAATCAGCACTATATTTAGCATACAAAAAGACAATTCATAAATGCTAGTTCCCCTTCATACCTTACACCCAGTGACTCTCAGTAACTGTTTACTCAATAGCCATTTCAATCATTAAACGTCTCCACGACTGGGAATTCTGAAATGAACATCAGTTCCCCCGTTGGAGGTTAAGGGTCTGAATGGGAAAAATCAAGTACCTACAAGCTGAGTAAGATAATACTATAATGGAATAGAGTAGGTTGGGATGTAAAAGTAGAGGAGAAAAACAAACTGCCCCCCAAAATCACTTAAGACTTTGTCTAAGAATAGGAACTTGAAAGCTAACAAATTTTTCTCCTGGGTAAGGTTTCCTGGTAAAATACAGGATGCCTAGTTAAATTTGAACTTCAGATAAGCAACAAAAAAATGTTTTTAATATGTCTCAGATATCGAATAGGACATATTTAAAATTACTTCTTGTTTACCTGAAATTCAAATTTAACTGGGCATCCTTATTTTTGTTAAATCTGGCAACCCTATTCTACAGAATGTGTGAGACTCAAAGCCATGAAGCTGTAGGATCCGTTCTAGCAAAAACAAGCACAATATAGTTGGCCCTTGAAAAAATGGGTTTGGATTGCACAGGTACACTTGTAATGCAGATTTTTTTTTTTTTTTACAGCACAGTACAATAAATGTATTTTCTTTTCCTTATGATTTTCTTAACATTTTCTTTTCTCTACCATACTTTGTTGTAAGAATATAGTATGTAATATATATAACATACAAAATATGTGTTAATTGACTATTTATGTTATCGGTTGGCTACCAGTCAACAGATTACTGGTAGTTAAGTTTTTGGGGACTCAAAAGTTATATGCAGATTTTGACTAAGCGGGTGGTCAGCACCCCTAACCCCCCAGCATTGTTCAGAAGTCAACTGTAATTTTGCAGTTGCAGAAGTGTGTTTCTGTGCAAGTATGTGTGTATAAAAAGTAGATGCACATATATTGGGTCTTTGTGTCTCTCCAATACAGTATAGTAGAGAATATTCAAGTATTGGCTCTGTCACTTACTGTGTAATCTATTGACAAGTTATTTAATCATTCTGTGTCTCAATTTCCTCTCTCATAAAATAATAACAACAGTTCTTATTTCACAGGCTGAACCAACCTCATAGGTTATAAGGATTAAATAAATTAATGCATGTAAAGCACTTAGATCAGTGCTTTAGCCTTCCCTCCCCTGCTCTGCCTTTTCTTCCTCCTTTATCAGTTATTTGCATCAGTGCATACACTAAACTAATTGAAAGTTAAGACTGTTCAACTTGAGGGGCGCCTGGGTGGCTCAGTCGTTGGGCGTCTGCCTTCGGCTTGGATCGTGGTCCCAGGGTCCTGGGATTGAGCCCCGT